AGGAGAGCTGTCAGTCTAAGGTGGCAAAAAAATCAGAAGGAATCTGTAGCACCTTTTCCAATAAATTTTATTAAGACGCATAAGCTTTTGTAGCTGCAGTTCCCTTCATCAGAATTCTGGGAGTTGAAGTCCACACATCTTCAAGCTGCCAAGGTTGAGAAACACTGATTTAGTGTGATCAAGCACAGTGGATTCCTACACAGAGAAGGGAATAGATTCCCTGACCTACCAGGCCCTTCCAACTTTATACTACTGTGATTCTAGAAGACGACAACTTGGTAATTTCCAGATCTTGTAATCTCAGAAAATGCTTATTTCGGCTCTTCTCTGGCTGTCATTGTCTCACTAATGCTTCAGACAGGTGCTTTTCCTAACTGTGTCTATAAATGCCAGAGGTCAAAATTGGATCTTCTACATGCAGGTCCATTGCTTGTGTTTGTACAACACAATAAACCACAAACCAGCCAACTACATCTTAGCTGAGAGCACTAGGCAAACTCAGCCTGTGTGCTCATCATTCAACATGTCATGCAAATACAGAAGAATAGCTTAATTGAGTAAAGCATGGTTAAGTCAACCATGGATAAGTGTGTAGTGCAAAGACATCCTCTGACTCTACAGCTGGGTTTACCCAGGGCACTAAGTCATCGTTTGTTTCAACACTGCTGTTGAGCTGGTGTTTATGAACCACAACAGTAAGCTTCCAACATTAGATTCAGCCAAAAAGAAATAAGTAATATTATAGTTCGGTTCAGTGTAAGAATCTAATGCAAGTGAAGATATGTCCTCTAGGTCTGTTGGGACTTCAGCTCCCAGAATTTAAGGCAGAATGGCTGATCTTGACTGGGAATTATGGTAGCTATAGTACCTAAACTTTAAAGAGTACTGATGTAGAAAAGCCACCATAGAAACTAATGAACAGAACTTTCATGAAAATCAACGCACTCTTGTTTTCTTTGTACACTGTTTCTTTTACCCTCTTTCTTTACCTGAGAATAATCCGTAGATATTCAATCCCATCTGCCTCTTCACATTTAATGGAAAGGATCAAATTTCCCAGGCTGCTGGCTGTGCAGTAAAAATTTAAATGATCCTAAAGATAGAAATAATGTGTTAAGTGTGTCAGGAAAGAGCCGCAAAGAAACTAAACTTAGTTCTTTAACTGCCCTCCCTCTCTTCCATGATTTCATCACTGAGCTTCAGCTCAGTTTTAGCACCCAGAAGGAATCACAAGTGACTCATCCATAGTTTATGATCACCTTGCAAGTCCTTTGAAGAAACAGGAAACATTTATATACATAATACTCTGCAATTTCAAGGTTTCAGACCAGTCATGCAATGCCAGAGACTGTAGATGTTAGAAAGCACATAATGGGATTGATAGCCAGGTAAGACCAGCCCCAACTTTGAAAAGAACTCAATAACTTTCTCCTACATCCAACCATCAAGGTATTGGAACTTTATTAGACAACCCTGTGACCCGTTGGATCATCCTTTGAGAGAAAGGTAGTGCAGTCTGATGTGACCAGAATGAGCACTAAATTTTAGGCCAGTGTTTCTCAGCCTTGGCAGCTTTAAGATGCATGGACTTCAACTCCCAGAATTCCCCAGCCAACCGTGCTGGCTGGAGAATTCTGGGAGTTGAAGTCCACGCATCTTCAAGTTGCTAAGGTTGAGAAACGCTGCTCTAGCTACATTTTCCAAACTAAGCACAGTTTTACATATTTCTTTCAGATCTTCTATTACCCACACTTGCCCTAAGCTGAAAAGCCCCAAATGCTATAATCTTTCCTTGTGGGAGAGCTGGTCTCCGCCTCCACTATGTGCACCTTTTCTGTCTCTCCAATATATACTTGAGATACAGGGACCAGAACTGTACACACTACCCCTAATGAAACAAATGAACAGTTAATGATTAAAATCTCATTTATGATGGTCACCAAGCTTTTTTAGCACAAGAGAATAGTTCAGTCTTGTCCAGAATCTGGAATCTGGGTGTCCTTTGGAGGTTCAGTAATGTCAGCCCTTCAAAGTAGTCCAGACAAGAAACTGAATCTATGAACACTAACACTACCTTTATTATTGTAAGGTTACAGTACCAGAATCTTGCAAGTCTGAAAGCACATCTCTCTCCTTTGCTTTTACTTTCCAGGGAACTAGGGAGGGTCCCTTCTGAGACATTTACCATGCCCCCATTCTTTCTGTGGGCTGAAATATCTGACCGTTGCCCTGGCTGCGGCTCTTCCTCCTCCTGTCTCTCAAGGATATTCCCACAGACTGTAACAAGTAACCACAGCATCTCTCAGCACACCAATAACCCTAAGCAGTCTTCATTCTTCGTGTGAGCAGCCAAAGGGCTTCATACCTTAGCTAGCCAACAAAGACCTTCTCCTTTATCCCCAAGAGTCCAGAAATTAAGGAGATGCCATGGTAGAAAAGAATTTAGAGCGGACCTTGGGGAAGGTATGAGCGAGCCACTAAGAAAGGACTTGGACCAGAGATTACATGATCCAGATAGAAGGAAACTTGAGAAAAGAACTTAAAATAACCCTGCCTTGATTCTGTTTAGTAGAAGGTGGGACAGAGAGAAACTTAGAGACAGGCTTCCAAGATTCTGTTATTATACCCTACAACAATAAACAAGCATTCCTGGAATCCTTGCCATGTCTGTTCCTTGACCTCCCCTACCTCAAAGGGCTGACATACGTACCAGGCAATAGAAATTCCCACTGAATTCCACATCAGTCCACTGATGGAGAAGAGGTGGATGCACACCTCAGCCTGGATCAGGCCCCATTTGAGAGCCCAGAAAGCGTAGAACATTTAAGTTCTCAGCTGAGCTGGGTCCATGCTGAAACAACATCCCTCTTTAGGCTCTAAGCTTATGTCAGCCTTACCAAGTAGACCAGAGAGGAAACACGACCAGATAAGCTAATTCTACTTTATTGTAAAGCTACATTAACAGAATCTTGCAAATCTGAAAGTACAATTCTCTGGCCATCTCTTTTACAGCCCAAGAAACTAGGGAGGGTCCCTTCTGAGCCTCTTGCTCTACCCATTATCCAGCTTCAGGCTATGCTGTCTCTTATCTGACCATTCCCTAGGCAGCATCTCTTCGCCCCATCTCCCAAGGTCTTTCCCACATACCATCAGATTACATTACATCTTCAGAACACTCCTTCCCTGAATTGGAGAAACAAACCAAAGACCTGTGAGCTCCAAAAAGATTGGCTTCTTTTTTAAAAAAATATTCTTAACAGCTGAAACTTTGCATAACCATGTGTGTAATGGAGCACACACCTCATTTCCCACTAACCTTTCCTAAGAAATGTTTCCGGTACGCCTTGGCTTCACCTTTGCACTCCAATTTGTAGCCGTAAGTGCTGGGGCTGAGTGGTTCCTCCTCTTCGTCACCGATGCTGCTTTCTGACGAGGTGGGTGTGCTGAGGTTCTCGGGGTCTTCGATCCAGTAGCCCCCAAACTGAGGCAAGATGATTAAGGGGTAGGGACTGCCTTTTTCTAAAATCTGTGAGGAGGGAGGAAAGGAGTGACTGTCAGATGCATCTTTAGGCCACTGTGCTTGGTTTGTTACAGCTGCCTTGGTCTGAAGCATGAGGCCACTGAATGAGACATAAAAGGAGATTCCATAAATGTGTCACAGCAGACTCTCAGGCTTGCGTGTAGGTGTGGACACAGGAGGAGGACTCAACTCCATTTCTAGCCCTTGTTGTTTTGTCTATGTTCAATTCCAGCCCGTTCTAAAAGAAGCACATTAAAATTCAAGCTTATACTCTTCACACTCCCAACCCCAACTGGCAAAAAAAAAAAAAAGTGATCTCTCAAATGTCACACAACTCTATGTGATCTCATTATCTGATCAAAATATTTAACAAAAGACAGAATTCTAAGCATGAGGAAAAGGCAGGACTGGTCATAAACTCCAGAGGTCACCTGTTTCCAGTATCTGGCTTGGATGATTAAAGTAACACAAACTGTTTTTGTGTGCAGGTTATTATTCTGGATATCCCCAAACTGGTACCAACCACGTATCTTTGACTTGTACCTCTCTGATTGTTGGGAGTCACTGTCATAACACATATGAAATACATCTAAAGGGTGTTGTGTTGAAGAAAGTTGCCTTAGTTATTTAAAGCATTCTTAACATTCTTTGTGGCTTTTTCAGCCAAAAGTATCTTCCAATTTATACAAAACCAGCTATGTGTATTCTTGCAAAGCACCAGAAGCATCTTGGGGTGGGGTTCAAAAAAGACAAGATGGCGGCCCCAAAGGTGTGATTGAAGCCCCACCCCTTTTTATGTGTGTCACATTAAAAAAGCAGTACACATAGAAAAGATGTGGGTCTTCAATTGCAAGGTTGTTGTCTTGAGTTTTTTGACCCCCATTTAAATGTGACTTCAGTGTGAAAATAGCTCACCAGGTCAGGCTTTAAACTTTTCAGTGACTTTCTTCTAGCAATCTTTCTTATGCCTTTTTTTCCCTTGACTACATACCTCATCAATGCTGGGATAGGGGATATAGTCCTCCTGGAAGATATTAAAAAACATACAAGAAAATGTCACTCTCAATTTGATTTCAAACACCATTTAAGATAATAAAAGCAGCTTCGTTTCTTTTGGAAATATAATTGATATTGCTTTTGAAAGATTCAATTTCTTTAAAAGTACAATTAGTATATACTTGATTCCTTCCTTCCTTCCTTCCTTCCTTCCTTCCTTCCTTCCTTCCTTCCTTCTCCTTTTTTGTTCTCTCTGGCTTTCTTTCCCACATACTATTCCTTCTTTTTATTCTTCTTGTCTTTCTGAATCTCCTAGCAGTTGAATGCAAGAGAGAGCTGTTGAATCCATCAGCAGGTCTCCTACTTACATGTGGAGAACCAACTCAATATATAAAGAAAAGAAAGCATTAAAAAAAGAAAGAAAAAAATATAGGCTCACGCCACAAAGCTGGATTAGAGGCATACCCTTAATCTCTAATTTATCGCTGGATTTTCAGTCGGAGCCCCAGTTTTTAATAATATTCTAAGGTTTGGTCTCCACTATCAGAACACTGTTCTGAGTTCAACTGCAAGGATTCGGCTGAATAGGCAACTAATGAATATCCTTTAATAACAGCACAAGTCTTCCTGATATCTTTGGAAGGAAACATGCTTCTTTAGCAGGAAGGATTGAGGAATTAATGTGCAACCTGTTTGACTGGAACTCATTAAAGGAAGATGATTTGACAGAGAAGGTCTTCACAATACAGCACCGCAGATGGCCCGGAATTGCCATATCTCCCAATGGAATCCAGGGACCTCCAACATTTGTTAAACTGAAAGCTTACAAGATGATAAAATGTCACCAGAGTTCGGTGTTCTCACCTGAAATCTCCTGAGATGTGACAATCTTCTGGCATATAGAAGAGAATACAGAAGACAATCTTCTGACAAGTTAGCCATTAAAAAGAAAAAGAAAAAAGAAATCCCTGCCCAGGATAAGTCATAGCATTCAAGGTCTGGAATAGTACTGATTTATGCATAGAAAATAGGGGGAAAGATGGAATCCTAGGATCCTGACTGCAATCATGAAGTACTTTGCCCTGCAGCTTTTCCCACTCCAGAAAGATTGTGAGGCTAGTTAAAAGAGCCTTGCATTAACTCTGACCTTGTTTTTCTGGCCTCCACCCCTCTGTTCTTCTGATTTTGGTCCCTGTTGGGATGAAGAAAAAGTAGTTAAAACCCTTTTTCTTTTAGATTTTTATCCTGTCTTTTTCCATATACAACTCAAGGCGGCGAACATACCTAGTATTCCTTTCAATTTTCCCAACAACCACCCTGTGAGGTGAATTGGGCTGAGAGAGACAAACTGGCCAAAATCACCCAGCCGGTTTTTCATGCCTAACATGGGACTAGAACTCCTGTCTCCTGGTATTTTGGAATAGAACTCAGAACGTCTACAAAGCATTTGCTTAGATTTGGTCTGTAGAAACCCAGTGGGGAATACTGGCCCACTTCTCACCCTTGCCAGGGGATATGGGGCAAAGAGGAAGCTGGAGCTGGCGTTTAGTGGCATTCTTCTCTGGAAAAGGTCTAATGAGAAAGGTTCATTTGCTTGTCTATTTAACAGCATATCATCTTTCAAGACGATCTCACCCCACGAGCATGGCATCACAATTGTCATTTAATGTAATGCATGCAGAAAATAACCCCAGAACCCTTTTAAATGCATTTAAAACCTGTCCTCTTAACACAAACCAAAGCTGACACTTAACAATACGAAGCAATTCAAGCGAAGGAAAGTTACAAACCACTGTGTTTCAAGTGCTGTGAAGCATTAGTTGGTGGCAGCAATCTCCTTTGTTGCTTTATTTACTACCATTACTTAATGAATGGGAACAGCCTTTTTTTTTTCATTTTTTATCACAAATGTTCTTACAAATGACACTTTATCATCACACAATTGCACACATCATACCGTTGCTGCCTCTCTTAAAGTGCCACAGTCACATGTAGATCCCCACTCAGAGATTCCTTCAAAAGGTGGCAGGCCCACAAAATTAAGTTCTTCCAGGGCTGAAGGGGGTCAAGAAGCTAAATAACTCTCTTAAGTCTTGCAGAAGCGGAAGGCACTTGAACAAAAGCCCAAACAACCCTTATCAGCTATTTTCTCCTGATGACAAAACCTAACAGATTTGACACACCTTGGGGCTGTCCTTGAACAGTGTTAGAATGGGGGGAGGAGAAAGAGAGAGGAATGGTAAGACGGAGTGGCTGTGGGTTAATGGCTCCTCTGTATCCGGGACTTTGTCATCTTTGGTGCTGGATGGGGTAGAACTGCCCCAGACAGACCCAGTGCGTAATCTGGGGGTCCTCCTAGGCTCCTGTGGGTTAATGGCTCCTCTGTATCCGGGACTTTGTCATCTTTGGTGCTGGATGGGGTAGAACTGCCCCAGACAGACCCAGTGCGTAATCTGGGGGTCCTCCTAGGCTCCCGGCTCCTGCTTGAAGAGCAGGTGGTAGCCGTGGCAAGGAGGGCCTTTGCACAACTTCGGGTT